GTGGGGTAGATCCGGCGAGTCTACTTTCACTAGAATTCAGCTGTAGTCACCGCAGCTTCCTTCAGCTTGCTGAAGTTCGTAGTAGACACCGTCGAGAGCGACGCTCGAACTGTCGGTCCCCGCACAATATATCAGCTTTTCACAATAGGGACGAGGTAGATCCCAACAGTGCCATAGAGGCCACAGGAAGGAGCCATTGGGCCATCAAGCCAGTCAATCCACTTAGTACCATGGAGGACAGCACAAAAGCAAAATGCACCTATAAAAGAAACAAACCTATCGTGCAATCATCCACCACATATGCTCTTATCAATATCGAAATTAACAGAAAAAACGAAGGTTCGTTCACCAGACTCGATGAGGGGAGGAGCCATGATGATTTACGTTTGAAAGGAATTACATAGACATACGCAGCAGACGTCATATTTTATGCTAACATGTATCATGTTTCATTGCCAAGACGTTAATAGAACCAGGGCAGTAATACGCCTGGCGGAAAGCCGGCGTCGACTCGTGTCATTCGCATAGGCTGGTCTCTAAACCCAAATGGGTCAGCCTTTACGCATACAGAGTTAACACTGGCTAGAGTTGGTCACACGAAGAATGGTCTATTACAACTGGTTGTCAGACACCGTGAAACGGCCTGGGGATATGATGCGCTAAACTGCAAATATCGGACAAGTGAGGATAGTAGTGACTTGAGGAGGAAAGTATAAAGGAGGGGTCAACAATGCGACCAATAACAGAGAAGCAGGACTTTCGCCAGTTTAGCGCAAGTTTTAAAGTACATATGGGAAAGCTCATGCCTTCTCTGACGAACCTGTCTAGTACTGGCATATTTACCTTACAACAGAGTAAATTATCACACAGAGAGAGCATTGCCCGCTTCCTCTACCGCAACAAGCCAAGAATACGATAACAACTCACAACAACGAGCGCATCTTCGACGACCCGCTCTCTGGCAACGCGTAATTTGAAGAAGGGCAGCTCGGGATCGCTGGCTAGGAGAGAGTGTAGAAAGGCACTGCGTCGTTCTTCCAGCATCCGAAGACGATTATCATAAAAGAGCTGGACACTCTTCGTTGTTGTTTGCAGAAGGAAGGGCAACTCCATGAAGCTGAGTTTGTCGCCGCGTGAACGGTAGCAAAGGAAGTCCTTTTCGGGCTACAAATAAAAGCAGAAGGAAACAATGAACGCAGAATTGTGCCATATAAACGGCAAGCACTTAAGCAATAATCAGAACCACAATTTTAAACAGTCTTTCGGCAACACAGCAAACTCGGGGTTTGGAAGGCTTGCGTTGGCACGAGGTGTCAGCCACAGTGCTATTACTACGTCGAAAAAGACGTCCATCAAGACAATAGAACTACACGTGAACGTGCTAAGCGCCAAAAAGCGTCTAAATAACAGACGGTAATACAATGAAGATCAGCTAAACAAACACTGATCATAGCTTGACATGGGCTTTAGAATTAGAGATTCATGGTGAAGCGGGGATGGCCATCTCCGTTTTGTGGTCAAGATACATCTGTGAACGACAACCCCAGATGACTTTGAGGATTCCGGATCTAGACCGGCAAAACGTAAGCATGCAGTTCTGCCTGACGCAAAGAAGTTCAAAAACCCTCAGTCGGCTCAAATCTCAAGCATTTGATGTGGAGTTCGAACGTCCCTGGGTGAAAAATAAAATAAGCCAGAAGTCGTTTTTCGGCATTCTTTGTCGAGCATCACCTAAGATGCGTTGATGGCAGTACACCAATACGCTCTCATGTGCAAATGGATGCTAATTTGAGTTGTGTATGGTTGGCTAGTTGGCAACAAGATCTAACATAAATAGATTATGGTACGTCGGCTTTATATTTAAAAATTAATGAGGTCATTTGGGACAGTCTAGTAAACAGCTCAGGCCGTTTTGGATCACAATTTTCGGGCAGTCAGAGTTCGCCATTACCCAGTGTACGCCAAAGAAGGCACTCTAGGTATTACAAACACGAATTGATTAACACGAAGACATCTGGGACGGTTTAATGAAGTCTAGTCTCAGGAAGTGTCGCCACAGACACCACTGGAAAAAACCCATTGTGATAGAAAACTTAAGTGAGCTTCAAATCTTGTCGAAATTTATCGACTTCGGGAAAAAGGCCCAGAAAAGAGACAGACAGGCTTTGATGCGATTAAAAAGGGGGAATGTGACCCTAAGGCGTGGAAGCTCATTGTCACGGGCTAACTGAGCACGAAAAGGGGACTGTATTCCTATCATCAGTCACAGAAGTCAGCAGTTTCGAAGACAACTTGACAGAATACGACGATTTTCGACCAGTTCCAAACAGGCCAACACGATTTAACAGGATTTCTTTGTGACTGATAAGCCCTAAAACCCGTGAGGAATAGATGGGAATCAGACCAAGTTGTAAGTACACTGATCAAGTCTCATCCACTGATAATTTCTTAAATATTGTCAAATACGGACAATTAATAGGGACTGTTTGCTTAGATTAGACGCTACAAGGATGCCTTCTTAGTGAGTGCCAGCAAGATTCGCAGACTTTTTTGGAGTTGTTCACACCAG